TCACTATTTGCAGATGACATGATACTATACACAGAAAATCCTAAAGACTCCCCCAAAACCTATTAGAACCAATACATGAATTCAGTATGGTCGCAGGATACGAAATCAATATGATACAGAAATCCACTGCATTTCTGTAATAATGGAGCAAAAAGAGAAATTAAGTAAACAATCCTACCTACAATTGCACCAAAAATAATAAAGTACCCAGGAATAAATTTAACCAAAGAGCTGAAAGACCTGTACTCTGAAAACTTTAAAACACTGATGAAAGAAATTGAAGATGACACCAACAAATGGAAAGATATTCCATGCTTATGGATTGGAGTAACAAATATTGCTAAAATGTCCATACTACCCAAAGAAATCTGTATATTTAATGCAATCTCTATCAAAATACCAACAGCATTTTTCACAGACCTAGAACAAATAATCCTAAAATTTGTATGGAATTACAAAAGACCCCGAATAGACAAAGCAACCTTAAAAATGAAAAGCAAAGCTGGAGGTATCACAATTCCAGACTTTGAGTTATATTACAAGGCTGTAGTGATCAAAACCGTATGGTACTGGCACAAAAACACATAGATAGACACAAGAACAGAATAGAAAGCCCAGAAATGAATCCACAACTATATGGTCAATTAATCTTCAACAAAGCAAGGAAGAATATCCAATGGGTAAAGGACAATCTCTTCAACAAGTGGTGTTGGGAAAACTGGAGAGCAACATGCAAAAGGATGAAACTGGACCACTTTCTTACACCATACACAAAAATAAATTCAAATTTATTAGGTCTATTAAAGACCTAAATGTGAGACCTGAAACCATAAAACTGCTAGAAGACAGCATAGGCAGTAATTTCTCTGACATCAGCTGTAGCAACATTTTTCTAGATATGTCTCCTTTGGCAAGGGAAACAAAAGCAAAACAAACTACTGGGACTACATCAAAATAAAAAGCTTCTGCACAGCAAAAGAAATAACATAGCTAAAAGACAACCTACTGAATGGGAGAAGATATTTGCAAATGACATGTCCAATAACAGTTTACTACCCAAAATATATAAAGAACTTCTACAACTCAACACAGAACTCAAATAATCCAATTAAAAGGTGGTCAAGGGGTGCCTAGGTGGCTCAGTCAGTGAAGCTTCTGACTCTTGGTTTCAGCTCAGGTCATGATCTCATGGGTCATGAGATCGAACCCCATGTTGGGCTCTGCACTCAGCAGAGAGTCTGCTTGAAGATTTTTCTCCCTCTGGTCCTTCCCACCCTGATTTGCACACTCACCCCCTCCCTGTCAAAAATAAATAATCTTTAAAAGAAATTTAAAAATAAATAAATAAAAGGTGGGTAGAAGACACAAATAGACATTTCTCCAAAGAAAAGATACAGATGGCTAACAGACACATGAAAAGATGCTCAACATCACTATCAACAGGGAAATGCAAATCAAAACCACAAAGAGGTATCATCTCACATTTGTCAGAAGAGCTAAAATAAAAAATACAAGGAACAACAAGTGTTGGCAAGAATGTGGAGAAAATGGAACCCTCATGCACTGCTGATGGGAATGCAAACTGGTGTAGCCACTGTGGGAAACAGTAGGGACATTCCTCAAAAAATTACAAATAGAATTACCAGATGATCCACTAATTTCACTACTGGATATTTACCCAAAGAATATGAAAACACTAATTTCAAAAGATACATGCACCTCTATGTTTATTGCAACATTATTTACAATAGCCAAATTATGGAAGCAGCCCAAGTGTCCATCTATAGATGAATGGATAAAGAAAATGTGAGATATATATATACATATACATACATACATATATATATATAAATATATATATATATAATGGAATATTATTCAGCCATTAAAAAAGAATGAAATCTTGCCATTTGCAACAACATGGATGGATCTAGAGGGTATAATGCTAAGTGAAATAAGTCAGTCAAAACAAATACCATATGATTTCACTCATTTGTGAAATTTAAGAAACAGAACACATGAACAAAGGAAAAAAAACACAAACCAAAAAACAGACTCTTAACTATAGAGAACAAACTTGAGTATTATCAGAGGTGAGGTGGGTGGGGGGATGGGTGAAACAGGTGAAGGGGATTAAAAGCACACTTGTCATGATGAGCACTCAATAATGTACAGAATTGTTGAATCACTATATTGTACTAATATAACACTGTATATTAATCATACAGAATTTTTTTAAATAAATTTATTTACTTATTTTATTTATTTTATTTATTATATACCAGCAGCAAACAGTTGTGAGTTTATAAAATTTTATTTATAATACATTCAAAAACATAAAATATTTAGGGATAAATTTGTCAAAGTTGTGTGTGACCTCAACACTAAAAACTACAAAATGTTCCCCTTCTGGGGAAAAATTAAAGACCTAAATAAATGGAGAGAAATACCATATTCCTGGACTGAAAATAATGGCATGCTGGTAATCATTTAACAATGAACCCCCTCCCCACAAAACATCATGGGACTTTACTAATTTCTTCCACCCTAGCCAATGTCAAGTTATCAAATTTCTGAAGATTTAATAATTGCTGTTGTGATTTAGTATGAGCTGTCTTCAGCTTGCCAATGACTGACTTAATATTGTTAAAATGACAATTCTCACCAAATCGATCAATCTCAATCTTAACTGGAGCAAGCATTTGTATAGAAATTGACAACTTAATTATAAAATGTATATGGGAATGTAAAGGAGCAAGAATATCCAGAACAACCTTGACAAAAAAGAAAGTTAGAGGACTTAAACCATCAGACTTCAAGTGTTACTTTTAAGGTAATCCAGACAATGGGATACTGGCTTAAGGATAATAAGTGGAGCAGAATAGAGAGCTCTAGAATAGATCAAGTCTGTACACAGTCATTTGACTTGCAAATGCCTTTTTAATACACAGTGCTAGAATAAATGGATATCCATATGCTCTAAAAGTAATCCTTGGCCTCATACCTCACACCATATAAAAAGTAATTAAAAGAGATTAGAAAATAATAAATACAAAAAAATAATAAAATACAAAAGCTAAAGCTTTAAAACTTCTAGAAGGAAATACAGGAGAAATCATTCACTATCTGAGAGTAGGAAAGGTTCTTAGGATACAGAATGCAATAAGGAAAAAATGACTTCACAAAATTTGAAAACTTCTTCTCAACGAAAGACATCATTATGCAAATGAGTAAGCAAGTTCCAAGCTAGGAGATAACATGCATGAATTATGTGTCTGACAGATGCCTGGTGTCCTGGATACATAAAGAACACTCCATAGATAAACAACCAGTTAGTAACAAGTAAATGATTTGAATTCATAAGCCCATGAAAAACTGCTAATATCATTAAGCATCAGGAAAATGTAAATTAAAACCACAGTGAGATTCAACCACACATCTACCAAAATGGAGAAAGTTTTATTTAATTATTTATTTTTTACAAAATGGAAAACAAATTTAATAAACTGAAAGACCAAATGTTGATAAGGATGTAGAACAACTCTCATCCATTATTGGTGGAAGTATACGGATGGTACAACTGCTTTAGAAAAAATTCTGGCTATTTATTATAGAACTAAGCATGCACTTATTCTACGACCCAGAAATTTTACCCACAGGTATTGATCTAAAAGAAATGAAAAAAATATATGGATGCAAAATGATTGGTATGAGAATATTTATCACAACCTTACTCATGATAGCCAAGACCTGGAGACAGTCTGAATATCCACCAAAATGAGAATGGATACACAAAGTGTGACTATTACTTAGTAATAAAAGTGAACAAACTATAATACTAGCAACAACACAGATGTCTCAAAATATGCTCAGTGACCTTATTAAAGAGAGTATACACTGAATGATCCCACTTATAGGAAGTTCTAGGAAAGGCAAATCTAATCTATGGTTAGAAGAAAACCAGAGCAGTGACTGCCCCTGGAAGGAAAAGAGTAAGGAGTGACTGGGAAACGGCATGAGGTAACTTTTAGGAGATTTGTGCATTTCAATGTACATCAATTTAACCTTAATAGAAAAAAATTAGAAACAAAATTTTGAATTCTAGTTAATGATATGCAGCTGGACGTACATCGTGGAAAATGTATTGGTTATTATAATTTACTCCAAAATGCAGCATAAACATAAGATGGCCTGATGGATAAAGAGAGGATGGATAGATGGACAGACATGTCCTAAACAAATTCCTCACTCTGTGACGCCTGTCTGAGTGGAATTTCAAAACAAGAAACCAGGTTAATTTCTTTATCCCAAGTAGTTATCGATAATGAAACATAAGCTTATGATATTTTAGCTAACCAGAGGAGAACATGTACCATTGTTAATACTTCACATTGTCTGGATTAACACCGTAAGTACAAAGAATCAATTTATAATCAAGTTAAAGAAATGACATACCCCATGTAAGGTAGACCCAAGGCATTGTTACTGTTAGCCTTAATTTATCAGATTTGATCTCTTCCAAAGTGCCTTTTTTTCCTTTCTTAAAACACTTCTGGTTATACTTTAGTTTACCTCCCTGCTTGCTTGACATTTGTTGTCTAGAGTCTAAAAATGATCAACCAATGATTCAAAGGTAAAAAACAAAATGGAATCATTCTGAATGACACTCAAGTTGAAAAATCACATTTCTGCAAACAATCTCATCGTCAAGGAGAAACAACAAGAGCGATGAAGACTGGGACCATCCTTGGTGGCCAGCCGCGACCAAAGTGGGGGGGGGGGGTCAAGAATAAAAACATGCTCATAGTCTAGGAAAAGGTTGGTTATTCCCTAGCCATGGGATCAAGTAAGCACCAGCACCAGTTTCAAATCATTCTATCAATCCAGGAGAGCTCACATCAGGAAACACACTGCCAAAAGCCAACCAATCAGTAACAGCAAAGTCAACCAATCAGGAGACTTGTCCTCAAGGAAGGGGTCAGGACAGGCACAAAACTTACCAGTGGGAGACTCAAACTTCAGCAAAGCACTGTTATATCCCAGAGTAATCAAGATGGACTCCTTGCCCACGCGGCAACATTCAGTGTCTCTGTTGAGTAGGCATTTAAAGACACAGACGCCATCGGCTATAAAGGGCGAAAAAAATTAAAAAGGATTAGGAAAATCCATTTTTGAGCATTGTAAAAAGGTTCAGTAACGCCATCCCTACATTTCTCTCCTTTTTTCAAGGCTCCCCATTTCTTCTTCTTAATATAATGCCTTGTGAGACGTAAGAGAATATGAGGATCTAAGATAAAAGAGGAATTTAACTATGGCCCTATACTGATTCTTTGCAAATGGGTTAGCACAGAGAGCAAAACTAACTCTTACCGGCTCTTGCCTTTATGTCCAGGGCCCCACTCCCTTTAAACCCTGTATTCCCCATAGCATTTTGTATCTCTTGACGGCATCCCAGGAGAGTCCAGGTAATGTCCCTCTGGGTGTGATTCTTGAGCACCTACTATGTGCCAGAGATCTCACACAGTCTTCATTGTAAATACCGTCACTGCCAGTGTTTTTAGGTAAAGACTAGGCAGAGAGTTGAGGTCCAAATATGCACGGCTAGTAAGTGGCAGAACCAGAATTAAAACCCAAGATTAAATTTGACTCCAAAGCCCACTCTTGCTCTTACCACATTATGCCAAGGCAAGCACAATACAGAGGGTGCTTGGTTTCTGCAAGCAGGGCCTGCAGTGAGTGGCTAGGCTCTCATCAGGTTCATACATAGATAATTGGGAAGTAACTCGCTATTCCTCCTTTTACAAGTTAAGCAGGCCTTGAGCACTGGGGCAGCTGTAGAGTGGTGGCAAAAGTAATAAACTCGGGGTTTGGTTTTCATCTCTGATATTTACTAACGTAGGGACTTCAATCACCTATTCACACTCAGCCACATTATTGCATTATGCAAAATGAAAATATTAATATTTATTTCCCAAGCTTTTTGTGAAGAATGAATAATAAAGGTAAAAATAATTTCTAAAATCCTATTAAAATGATAAGGGACTATGGTCATTTCTCTCATTATAAAGTAGATCTTAGTTCCCATACTTAATGTTTTCCATTCTCCCTTACGAAATCAAATACAGGAAGTGTTTTAACTTTAAAACATAGTTATATATAAAATTCTACTATTATACGAGTATGTGGCACATTCATACACACACATTCAAAACACACACACACAGAGTTAAGATGACCAAATATTTTCAAATATTTTCATCCATTACTTCAAATGAATGAATACTTCCTGATGGAAGCTTTCACAGATATTTTTCACAAAACATCTTGGCTGGTTAAATAGTGCAGATGTTTTGAAAACATTTTCCTGGCATAAAGCATGATTACAGGTTTAACTATTACAGCCCAGTCAGTGTCTCAAAGGCATCAGTGTCTCCTTGCAGAGAGGCAGCCATGAATAGATGCAGAAGAAGGGAGCTTGGAGCTCTTTTAAACAATATATTTTTTTTAAATCACAAGAAATGGTCCCACCCCCACCAAGATATCAGGATTTTCTGCATTTACCAATTGTTTTCTTATGGTTTTGAAGTAGGATGAGGGATGAATGTTAGTCTTCCACAGTACCTTGCAGTCTGTGAACTCTTTCCAGGCAGGGGCAATTTTACTTTCTTTTTTTAAATCATTATCTTTTTTTCTCTGAATCAAAGCCCAGCACAGTACCTGGTACTTAATAAATATTTTTTGAATTGGTGAAAGCATTTCTCCATATATTGATTGAATGCCATCCCAGAATAGATAAAAAGCTTCAAACTTTCTCTGGTTCAGTTCTCCTAAACCAGATATGGTCATAACTCTTTGTTTTGCTATTATTTGTTTGTTCAGTTGTGATTTGATTAGGGTATGAACTGAGTTGCTGTTTTCAGACACTGCAAAATCCTTGCCCATATATCCTCTTTTCTTCATCCTCTCTGACCCTCTGTTTAAATATGGGTGGAGCAGGTGTTTTTAAGCATGCCATAAAATCCAGTAAGTATTGGTAACTACTTAATTTTTTTTAAATCTAACTTTGGCAAAAAAAAATTTTTTTTAATTACTTTAAAAACAAAATTGAAAAGCAATGATAAGCTGGGAAAATATTTTCAGCACACCCAACCAAGACTGAATATCCCCAAGATACAATTAACTCTAAAAAATAAGAAAAAACAAGCATCCTTATTGAAAAGTTAGTAGAGGGATCAGTAGGTAGTGGACTGGAAAAATGCCAATAGCAAAAAGAATGCAAATAATGAATTGCCGTAATATTCAAAGAAATGTGTAATAAAAGAATGAGGTCTAAATTTTTCTCTCTCAATGTCAACAGTTTAAAAATATATACTAACAATATCAAATACTGGACAGGGTATGAGACAACGGTGAAGAGCAATTATTGGAAGCATAAATTTCTGTATTTCTGGGAGGTATTCTGCCCATAGGGTTCAAAATGTAAAGTCTATATATTCTTTACTAGACATTCTGTTCATAATCGTTTCCTTCAGGATGTACTTTATCAAGTGTGGATGAGTGTATCGTCAAGGACATTCATCTTAGAGTTGTTTACTATTGCAAAAAAATGCAAAGAAGCTGAGTCTACCACTGTGTACATGGTTGATTAAATGGAACATGATGCTTCCATGTTCAGGTGGTGAAACAGCATGTATAATGTTAATGTAGCAATTAAATGTGTTTATCTTCATAGAGAGCTGTTGAAAAAGATACACACATGTCATCAGTGGTTTCCTGTGCATGGAGAGACCTGGGATCATTTTTATTTTTCCCTTTATAACGTTCTGCCTTGTTTGAATTTTCTATGACACTGTTTTTAACAATCAGAAAATACACCCAATCCAGGAGGGGAGGAGCAAGATGGCTGAGAAGTAGGAGACCTATATTTCGTCTGGTCCCAGGAATTCAGCTAGATAGTTATCAAACCATTCTGAACACCTACAAACTCAACAGGACATCAAAGAAAAGAATAGCAACAACTCTCTGAACAGAAAAGCGACCACTTTCTGGAAGGTAGGACGAGTGGAGAAGTGAATCTGAGGCGATATTCGGGGGAATAGACGGCGGGGAAGGGGGCCTCCATCGGCCCCTACTGGCAAGTGATAGAGCCGCGGAGCACAAAATCGGAACTTTTA